TCAGACACGCCGGAAGAGGGCATTGGAATCCATTACAGATGATTGAGAGCCACCATGTGGTTGCTGAGAATTGAACTCAGGGCCTCTGGAAGGGCATTCAGTGATCTTAACCTCTGGAAGAGCATTCAGTGATCTTAACCTCTGAGCCAACAATTTATTTTTATTTTATGGGTATGAGTGTTTGTCAGCATGTATGTTATGTGCACCATATGCATGCAGTACCCAAGGAGGCCAGTAGAGGGCATTAGATCCCCTGAACCTGGTCCTCTACAAGAGCAGCAAGTTTTGAACCATCTCTCCAGTCCCTCTAGATGTTTTAAATGAAACATGAAAGTAGACAGGGGTCTAAGTAGGAGAGTTAAGGAGGTCTAAAGGAAGAGAAAAACAAGAGAAGGTAATCAGGAGAAAAAAAATACATTACTGTTTTTCTCATAATACACATTGTCTTTCTCTAATGTATATATCTAGCATATCACACACACACACACACACATACAGAAGTATTTGGGAGAGATAGGGACCAGTGAGGGGAGGGGCAGGGGATGAGAGAGATAACAGAGAGTGAATAAGAACAGTGAATAATGAAATACATACGTGGAAACGCCATAATGTAACCTATTGTTCTGTATACTAACTAAAATATAAATGAAAACTCATCCAAACAGGAGAGTGGAAAAGATTGCTGACATAACACTAGCAAATATAACAGCGCTGTTCTTGGGTGGTCCTTTTGTTTACTTTACAAACAACAAACACACGTCACTTCTGTATCCGGTGAGCTCATCCTGGCCAGCCTGTGAGCTTTAGAGTCAGCGGCTACCCCATAACTGTTTAAAATTCAAAACGCGGTGTCTCATCAATTTGGAACCTGCCTCCCAGATGCTGCCAAGCGTTTCTGTCTAGCAAGTTTAACTTAGAAACAAGTATCTACTTCCCGATCCTTTCACCCTCCCCCCCACTCCTGTAACTTCCAACTTTCCAAGTTGGAGTCTGGAGGCCATTTCTACCCACGATGGGGCCCCTCCCTTCCCTGGCCACCAGAAGAAAGTCTGTGCTCGTTCAGGGAGGAGGGCGAGGTGCTGGGGGTGGTTGATGGAAGCCTTCACAGAAAAACAGGCACCAGCTTGGCATTGGCAAGGACCAGACACCGCTGCTCCTAGCAGCTGTTTCACCTTTGCGACCCCAGCTCACAGCTCCACATCCCCGGGGGGGGTACTGACATCACAGACCCAGGAACCCCTTATTCACTAAAGACAGAGAGAATCGGCCTGACGTGTGTGAGCGCCTCTGAATATATACAAGTAGCCTCCTACTGCACACCAAAACAAAGCACCATCACGCTTAGTGGCTTAAAAAAAAATAGCAGCAAAGGATAGAGGGCCAGAGAGATGGCTCAGTGGTTAAAAGTGTGGACGGCTCTTGCAGAGAACCTGAGTTCAATACCCAGTGCCCATGTACAGTGGTTCATGACTACCTGTAACTCCAGCCCTAAGAAATCCAATATCCTCTTGTGACCTTTGTAGACAGACAGACACATGCACATGCACACACACACACACACACACACACACACCAGCTGGGTGGTACACACTTTTAATCTCAACACTCAGGGACCAGTGTCAGATGTGAGTTCAAGGTCTACAGTAGTGAGTTCCAGGTTAGTCAGGGTTACATAGTGAAACTTTGTCAAAAAGAAAAAAAAAGATGGCAGGAACTCTCCAACTGTTAGCCAGACAGTTTCTTTACCTTCACCATGTGTCCTTTCTTTACCTTCACCATGGTGACCGCAGGACAGTTTGCAGTGTGGCTTTCCTCAGGGTGAGAGTGAGAGAGGGAAGCCCGAGATGAAAGCTTCATACCTGCATACACGCTTCCCTTCCTTCCTCCCAGTCCTGAGAACTGAACCCACACTAGGCAACACTTTACCACTGAACCGTGCTCACAGCCCCTCACTGGTGGATTCCGAGGCAAGCGCTCCTTTGTTAGTCAACTCGTCATTGGTGGGCTCTAGGTGAGTGCTCTACCATTAAGCCATCTCAAAGAGTATTCAGGTGGTGGAGGACTCTATTCCAAGACTCCTAATCCATCTTGCCAGCCACAGCCTCCATTATCTTTACTTGTGTCTCTGGCTCCACAGAAAATCTTCGCTCCTGTGGAACGACAGGATTAACTCACCTTGGAGAGCCTTCTAATCCAGCAAGGCTTGCTGGATTAGACTGACTCTTCCCAGGTCAGCACTGCTTCAGCACACTTCTGAACACTCCGGCAAGGCCAGAGGAGGCTCTTGATTGAAGTCTGGAGCTGTACTCAGAAGGTTGCACAAACCAAGATGCCCTGGCGTTTACATTCTATGACAATATAGGCCTCTGCGTACACACGCTTGCATGTTAGTGCACGTGTATGTGTATGTGCACACATGTGTGCACGCACATACAGGCTTGCATGTACACGTGCGTGTGTGTATGTTTGAATGGTGCTCTTAAAACACATATCCTCTCATTATCCAAGCCTATATTTTTAAATCACTGCACGATATTGGAGGAAAGATGATTTTTATGGCTGCCGGTCTGTAGCAATGGGGTTCAGAAAGATGGCTCCTTAGGTAAAGGTGCTTGCCAATAGGTGGACATCTGAGTTTGATTCCTGGGACCCACCCAGTTGTCCTCTGACCCCAATGGGTGCCCATGACAGATACACATAAAATAAATAAATGAACTAAAAATGCAAACAGATAACAATGGCTTTAAGGATGTGGCTAGACGCACTTGGCCGTGAATCTTTCTGCAGATGAACATAGCTAGCAGGTGGTCTATAGCCTGAGAACTTCCCATGGTGACCACAACTCTGCTCTGAGCCTTGCCCTTTCCCACTGTGTAAGACTAAGGCTCCCGGATGACAGAGACATGGAGAGCTTGCCCTAAGTAAGCAGCAGCCACCCAGGAGGCTACCCTACTCACAGCTCACATGGAAATATAGTTAGAACCATATATGTCGCTAGTTCGCTTTTAGTATTTTAAATTCTAATTTTGTAATGGCGGTAAGAGACATATAACATGGCGTTTAACAGTTTGAACTCTTTAAAAAAAAAACAAAAAGAACCTCTTTCAGGCAGTGGTGGCGCATGCCTTTAATCCCAGCACTTGGGAGGCAGAGGCAGGCATATTTCTGAGTTTGAGGCCAGCCTGGTCTACAGAATGAGTTCCAGGACAGCCAGGGCTACACAGAGAAACCCTGTCTCGAAAAAACAAAACAAAAAAACAAAACAAAATAAAAAAGCCTTTTTATTGGTTCTTTGTGAGTTTCACATCAGGTACCCCAATCCCACTTGTCTCTCCCTCCCCTCCCACCCTTGCAACCTTCTCCCCCCAATAGAGAAAAAGAAAACCACCTCCTTTTGGAAGCTGTAGTGCATCACAGTGTGTCCCACAGTATAACCTTTTGTTTATACTTTTTTGCTTGCAAATGTTCATTGCAAGAATTCATTGGTCTGGTTTGAGGCCTCTGGCTTCTGCTACTCTATCAATACTGGAACCCACTGGGACTCTTCTTAGACATTCTGTTGTTGTCCTGTGTCATGGACATCCTGTCATTTTGAATCTGTGGGACAGGCCCCTTCATGCACTCCAGCAGTTTATCTATGGGGTAGGCGCTGGCATGAGCCAATTCAAAGCCCCAGATCTGGGCCTGTGAGCCATCTGAGCTGGTCAGCCTGCCGGCTCTCCTGTTCTCACACCCTCAAGGACGGCTCACCTTCAACTCCAGCAACCATGGTCAGCTAGCTCTACACTGCTGCCCTGGCAAGGTACATAGCCTGCTCTCCCGAGTGTTGCAGCTGGTGAGGAACAGGGCCAGTTTTCCCATTCTCATGACCCCGGGGGCCACCTCTTCTGCCTGTAAGGGATGAGGAAGAGAGGAAAACATCTCTTCCTTGTCCAAACCACTGCGTAGCAGGCAAGAAGCATGTTCACGCACTCCCTTGGGCCTGTTTACCCAAAACCAGTCAAAGCCAGCTCTACTGTGCTGCCCAGGTAAGGCGCAGCGACTGCTCTCCCAAGTGCTGCAGCCTGTGAGAGGCAGAGCCAGCTCTCCTGAAATCATGATCCCAGGGCTAGGTTTCCCACGTGCCACAGGTGGTGATTGGGGAAGCGGGGAGGAGGGTGTCTCTTGCTCATCTGTGCCACCTTATGGGGGATGAGTGGTAGGACCAGCTCTCCCACGCTTGTATCCTCAGGGGCCAGCTCACCAGCAGCTTCTGAAATGTGCAGGGCCCACTCTCCTGAGTGATGCAGGTGGCTAGGGTCAGTTATCCTCTCTTGTGCCCCAAGGGCAGCTCTCCCATGATGCTCAGGTGAAGTGTGGGGCCAGTTATGCACAGCCTTCAGACATCAACATGTCTCATGCAGCAGCCCAGACCAGGGTTGTCTCCCTGGCCTTTGGTGGTGACAGACCCCTGCTGCTGCAGAGCCATATGCGGACCAAGTCGTGTCTCCGGTGGCAGCACAGGCCAGGACCCCACCATGGTCCCAGGTGTCATCACTGGCTACTCACATGAGGTTGTTCCTCACGACCTTCAAGTCTCCAGTTCTGCCTCTCTTCATTGTGCCACCATCCCTCTGTTTCTCTTCTGCTTCCATTTCTCCATTACTTTCTCTTCTCCGTGGCACTTGGAGTCTCTGAGTGTCTGGGGTCATCTCAGGAATGGTTTCATGAGTGCTATGCCTTACTCATGCATTATGGCACAGGGCAGGGGGTCATCTCAGGCATGGTCTTTCCTCTGACTGCCCAGGCCTGTGCTGTGGAGGACTGGTACTCATCTCATCCTTACCTGGCCTGCCCAAGTAGTCCCTTGTGAGGGTTGTCTGTCATGGGCTCACTTCTGCCTGGGGCTTATGGTCCTAAGTGTGGTTCTTCTAGTTTCTAGCTTGCTCCCAATCCTGGGAGCGCGGCTGGTCTTGCCTGGTGCTAGACTGGTATCGTCTCAAGCTTGCTTTTTTTCAGGGAGTGTTAGGCTACGAATCATTCAGCTGTCCACGGGTCAGAACATTGAGTGTAGACATAGCCTCTCTCCTCTCTGACTCCTACTGATACACATGGGACACAGCAGCCAACCTGCTAAGGGAAGGTTAGTCCGTATGATGCTGACTATTCTAGGCACCTCATTTGGATGGACTCATATAGCATCTGTCTTTTGTTATTGGCTTGTTTTACATGGGTGACACTCTCAAGATTCATCCGTGTGGGCACCATATATCAGAATGTCCGTCTTTCTAGATGGAGTATACTGCATCGCCCAGTCCTGTATGCCACATCACAGCTGCTCATTCATCTACCAAAGGATGCTTTGATTGCTTCAATGTTTTATCAATAATGGTGAATGGTGTACAGGAGCCGCTTCTTTAAACTTCAAATATGTACCCCAAAATGGAATTCCTGGCTTACATAGTATATATATATGTATATATATATGTATATATGTGTATATATGTGTATATATGTATGTGTATGTAGCTAGTTCATATGTGTGTGTGTTGAGAACCCATGCCATTCTGTTTCCTTTCTTTCTTTCTTTCTTTCTTTCTTTCTTTCTTTCTTTCTTTCTTTCTGTCTGTCTTTCTTTCTGTCTTTCTTTTTTTCTTTCCTTCCGGGGTCATGGTGGTACAGGCTCTGGTCACAAACTCACAGATTCTTCTTCCTAGATAATGAGCTATTTGCAATTGCAATGCTACGTGTGATGCTAACATGTGCCACCAAGTCTTTTGTCTTCATGTGTCTATGTGAGCCATACATGTGCCTGGTGCCCAAGGAGTCAGAAAGGGCTATCAGACACTCTAGATTTGGAGGTACAGACCAACATGGGTGCTGGAAACCGAATTCAGATCCTCTGGAAGATCAGCAGGAACTCTTAACCACTGAGCCATCTCTCCAACCACTGCCTCCTCATTACCTGATTTTTTAAACCCTTTAACATTCCCTGGGAAAGTCTGCTCTGGCACAATCACAGAAGGCTTAGAAGGAGAACAAGAAAACACAGAAAAACTCAAGAGTTTCCCCAAAGAAGCATTTGGTTCTTGTACAGTGAAAATGAGTTTATGAATTCCCGTGTCCACAGCTTTCACCAATGGACCACTCCCCTCAACTTTCATAATCTTATTGGGTGACAGTGTCTGTGAGGGCATGCACACAGGAGCATGGGTGTGTGGAAGGTGAGGGTCCCCCGAGCTTGTGGAGCCTCCTTGCTAAGGGGTTTTTGGGGGCCTTTTGTTTAGTAACAGTTTTAAAGGACTGCTGACCTCAATTGACCCCAACTCCTCAATTCTTCTCCCAAGTTCATTCTGGGTTTTGACTCTCCTGGATTCAAACCCTTGGTTGGCAGGTCGTCTCCAGATGACAACCACACGCTTGGAAATCATACATCATCGCTGTTCCCCAGAAGATGACGGGGTTACTGAACCGGTCAGAGACACAGCTGGGTGTCCTGAGTCTTCTCAGGGTTCTCATCAATGTCCCCACACAGGCCTCACTTTTTACAAGTGAGCCACTTTAGGGGCAGGATGAGGTAAATGAGGAGGACAGAGGGCCAGCAGGAGGAGGGAATTCTCAAAGCAAATCACCAAGGAACGCATTGCATTAGGAAGAAGTCAGGCCCCAGCCCTGGGCCTCCACGCACTGTCTTGGTCACCAGCAGCCCTTTCCACGCCACCCCATCTCAGTCTCTCTTTCCCAGCACAGTCGCCTGGCTTCGGGGGGAAAAAACCAGATCTTGGGATCAAAGGGCCGAGGCGAACGCTGCCTGGAGCCGTAGGCGCATTGCCAGCCCTAATCGCAGGGCCAAGGTTCATAGCTAGCGGGACCCGGCCGGAGCCGCGTGCCTGGAGCTGTCCAGCACCCCGAGGCGGGGCGTGCGCCCCCCTCCCCGGCCCGCCCCAGCCGCCTCCGCCCGCCCTGTCAGCGCCACTGCGGCTCGGCGGGCGCGTCACGTGGCTGGCGCGGCGCGGCCTCCCGGCTCCGGGCTTAGGCGAGGGGCCGGCCGGGAGGACGGACGGACCGACCGACGCACCCTCGTAGGCACCGTGCGGCGCAACGCGGGCGGCCCGGGGTCCGACGGGCAGGGCGCGCCAGGGCATGGGCGCGCCGGAGGGCTGGGTGCGCAGGCCGGGCTGGGCGCGCCGGCCGGGGCTCGGGGACAGCGGCG